TAAGAATTTTTTGGATTTATACCTCTAATTCCCAATGCTTTATTTATTTATGGCAGTGGTATTCAACCTTTTTTGTTCGCGTACCCCCAGATATAATTTCTCTTCAACTTTGTACCCCCAAAGTTGTTGGTGTATGATTCAAGTTATACATAGTATATAATCTACATCTGAAATAAATTAAAAAAATTACATTACTGATTATTCAGTGTTTATCATAAAATAATATTTTTTTTTAAATTTCACGTACCCCCTAAGATTTCTTCGCGTACCACCGGGGGTACGCGTACCACAGCTTGAATACCACTGATTTATATGTTAAAGCACGATGAATGATTGATAAATAATGGCTTTTAAATTATATGGATGGAAACATCGGTAACCTAAGTACTGTCCTAGAATTTTCCTGAAGGGTGTGAAGAAAACCACGAGACTCCTCAATCTCTGAGCCGAGATACGTACCAGGGTTCTCCCGAATACAAAGCAAGCGTGATATCCACAGAGCCGCCATGTTTTTATGTCTTTATGGCGCAGTTATTTAGCGCAGGGAAAACTTGTCGTGTGCCTGACATCGTAATCGGTTTCTTAAGAAATTTCTCGTTCTAAGTATTGCTTCATTAACACGATTTACTCTGAGCGATACGACAGTTCGTGTGCATGTGGGTCAGTACTTGAAGTCAGCCGACAGCTTGCAGCAGTGAAAGTTGTTGGTTGAACTTGACTCTGCATTACGTAACACGAGCTCGTAATAATGTCAGTGTTAACACGTAACATTTTTAGTGCTATAACCGATGTATCTCGTTGATCGGACGAAGCTGAATGGGACGGGCAAGGATTGAGCCGAGTGTGAAGGATGTGAAAATTACACATTAAATTTTAGTATGAAAATCTGAAGAGAAGAGGACATTTGTGAAGATCTAGACGTAGATGGGAGGATTTTAAATAAGTAGGGTGCGAGAGTGTGGATTGGATTTATCTAGATCAGGATAGTGACCTGTGGTGGGTTTTCGTGATCATGGCAACGAACCTTAATCATGTATAGAGGACTTGACTAGCTCAGCGATTATTAATTTCGCAAGAAGGATTATGTCGTGTGTAGGGGTTTCTCATTTATCTTGAGACTTTATGCTTTTTTAAAAAAAAATCTCAGCATTGCAGTGGTTAATTCTGCCTTTTACGATCCACAGTTTTCTTAGGTAGACCCAATATGTAAGCCTTCTCTCCCTTTGCATGCTTCAAGTGAAGAGAGAACAGCGAAGTCTTCAGGAAAATATTTGGAATTGTCCCGAAAAGTGAAGATGCCAGCATGAGATATAATATTAAAATGGATATATGACTTACGTAGTGTGAAGAAGGAATCTGGATTGAACTAAGAAGATTGTCGAGTGTCCTTGTCAGAATGATAATGACCCTTCGCGTTTCAAATAAGGTGGGATTTTTCTGGCCAGCTTAGTCACTGTCAGTTTTAAAAAAAATTCTGCAGTGTGTTGTTAATCGCTGGGCTGTCAGTTATAACTGTAGAACCTTGCCCTGATATTATGGGCAATTTCTCTTTCTTCCCTTAGAGAATTTTTCTGGGATTTTGAATCTGGCGGATATTACGCATTTTTCACAGCAGACATTGATTACCCCCCCCCCCCCCCCACCTTTTTTGTTTTAGTGGACTGAATTTATTTTTTCTAGCCTGCTCTCTAGTAACGTTAATAAATTCGCTGAACTTTCGGTTGTCAGACCTCAGATTGTTTGACCCTTTCTTTTGCTGATAATGTCAAGACATAAATTCAGTGTCCTGGGAGCTGGGAAATGTTTTATGAAAACCTCGTGAGTTGAAAGTTCATGAAATGTAAACAACCTTCAGTAGAAAAACATGGACTTCCACAGCAGCACTTTAGCGCTAGATAACGAGCAATCATGCGAGTGTGTACGTGTGGGCGAGCTGTTACAGGGCTCGATCGTATGTGAGGGAAGTACGTATCAAACGTTGCAGTTGTGTGGAAGGTCCAGGGTTCGGTTACTGACCTGGAGGTCAAGTGTCTTGGTTATTATTTGTCGTTTTGCAATTTTAGGTCCTCTGGGCTGTAGTAATGATGATGACTGTCGTTCTGGACTTGTAGAGGTTTACCGACGTTTCAGAGATGGTTACTGTTTCTATCACCAGTGCCAGCCCTGACCAGTTTATAGAGCACAGTGCCCCACAAGACAGTCATGATCTTTGTTTTATCACTTAATTCGCGAAAATGTTGTTATACGGGGTGTCTCATCGCTGTCAACTGTGCTGCGAAGCTAACTGTGGCCATTTTGAACACCTGCACTAGATTCGCTAACACACTAAGTGCCAGTGCTGACTTACGTAATGGTTTAGTTTATTAAAATATCTTAATTTAATTCACAGGATATTTGCTTAAATCTTTTTTGGGACACTCTGTAGTAACATGAAGTAGGCTGCGGTCACTTCTTTTAACATCTTGCAGTAACGTCTCATTCTACACTGCCATAGCAGGAGTTGAGACAGAAGGCGTTGTTAAACAAAGCCATCAAACGTTGTTTGCCATTATGCTGACTGATTTTTGTTTCCATATTATTGACTAGCGGTTAGAACGCTGGCCTTGTAATCCTGGGGTCTCGGATTCGATTCCCGGCGGTGCCCGAATTTATAACTTGTGTTGGGCAAGGCCGTGGTCTAGGCAACACGGAGTTTTCCTCCGTGGCATCCCAACAATTACTCCATTCACACACAGAAGAAGGCAATGGCAAACCACTTATGGATCATCTGCCAAGAACGTATATGAACAGATCCCAGTCCGAGAAAAGGATGGAAGAAGGATCCTGTTCATATGGACCTGACCTGTCGTCA